CGGGGCGCACCGCCTATAGCATGACTGATTAGTGCTATCATTGTAAGCCCTGCCTGGGCCTTGCAGTTGCGGTGGAGGATGAGGGGGGCTCAGGCGGCTCGAAGTCAGAACCTAGCAGCAGCAGCAGCAGCAACAACAACAGCAACAGCAACAACAGCTACCATCACAAGCAGAAGCGCTACAAGGTATCCCTGTGAGTCAAGTAGCCTGCGAACTCGTCCTCCACATCATCCCACCGCTTCCAGTCATCGTCCTCATCATCATGGTCTCCTTCATTCTCGGGCTCGCCGCCCAAGTCTTCCAAGTCACCCCGGTCCATACCCTCATCGCTGAGGGCAGCTCCATCGCTCAACCCATCGTTCTCATGATCCGCCTCCTCATAATCCTCGATTGCAAGCGCTGCCACCTCTTCCGTGGCGTCGGGTGTGGGTGCTCTCGTGGACCGAGCCGGCTCATCTTCGGATTCCTCAAGGTCACCTGGGTTGGATCATATGGCGGGAAGCTGCTCTCATGTCACAGAAATCGCGTACACACCGAAAACAACAAAGAAACACGATCATGATCATGCGTGCAAAATCACCTTCCATCATCTCTTGCAAGAACTCGCAATGCTGCTTGGTGTGCCTCCGAGGCCTCTCCCCAAACGGCCTCACGTCCGGGTAGCGGTCCTGGCGCCACTCCTCGAAGAGTGGGAACATGACCGGGTGATTCGTGATGTTGCGGACCCTGTTCACGCCCAACCACGGGTGCTGATCAAAGATCTCGCCCAAGCGGCCCTGCGTGGTCTTGGGGAGGACCACTAAAGGATCTGTGAACAAGTCAGGCTGCGCTGCCGCGTCCATCTCTTCGTCAAACATGTCCTTGATGTTGTGACGCCACACTCTGTGGAAGCTCTCCCACTGCGACAGCGAATCCCCACGATTCTTGTGCACTGGGCCCATCGAAGCATCGGGAACCACTTCCCCAGCCTTCTCACTTGCTGGTTTGACTTTGGACCCCTTCTCACTTGCTGGCGGGTTGCTGCTGCTTGCCTTTGGGCCCCTTCTCACTTGCTGGAGGGTTGGTGTGCTCGCCTTCGGACCCCTTCTCACTTGCTGGAGGCTTGCTGCGCGCGCCTTTGGACCCCTTCTCTGCACGGTTGCTGTGCTCGCCTTTGGAACCCTTCTCACTTGCTGGAGGGTTGCTGCGCTTGCCTTTGGAACCCTTCTCACTTGCTGGAGGGTTGCTGTGCTCGCCTTTGGAACCCTTCGCTGCAGGGCTGCTGCCCTTGCCTCCCTCCTTTCAACTCGCTGGGGATCGAAAACCTGCTGCCGTTGGTGGAGGGGGTCCACCAGGACGAGCAGCAGGTTGGTTGACAGGAGTGGGAGGGGGAGGCCCCTTTGGGCCCGACGCCTCCTCTGTTGAGGTAAGGTTGCCTTTCTTGCCCTTTCCCTTTCCCTTTGTTGACCCCTTCTTGCTTGCAGGCGGGCTGACGCGCTTGCCCTTGCCCGTTCCTTTAGCCGCCTTGTCACTTGCCGGCGGGCTGCTGCACTTGCCAGACCCCTTCTCACTTGTCGAGGGGCTGGCCACACCCTTTCCGCTAGCTGGGCTTCCCTTTTTTCCAGCACCCTGGAGAGCTCCTGGGCTTGCCACCACCTTTGCCGGATCCCTTGGATCCTGTCGGGCTCGCGCCTTTGCTCCTCACTGCTGGTGGGGTGCTACCCTTGCCAGCTGACTTCGGAGACTGCACAGGTCTCTTGAACCTCGGGGTGGTCACATCCTGCTCAGGCGTCTTCTTTCCACCCATTGGATAGAAGTGCCAGGATCCACCTCTGGCCAACCGGTCGTTGGACACCCAAACCCAGTTCGGATCAGAGGCCGGGTTCGTCGGGAAGCAGCGGAATGGCTGCATCAACCCTTAAAAGCCTGGATATGGGGGATATTGAGCAGGAAAGCAACAGCAACGTCATGAAATTTCCCGATACTCAAAGTCCACGAAAGTCCACGTTTTTAGGCTACTTATAGGGTCGTTGGCACGAAAGTCCACGAAAGTCCACGGTATCCACCGTCCGAATTTTTTTTCATTTTTGCTTCGGTCGCTCGAGCGCGCGGTGCATCGCTCATTTGTGTGCAGCTTCGGTGCGGCTCGTGTGCTGTGGTGCTGGTTTTGTGTTCGCGCTGCATGGCTTTCCGCGAACTTTGGTGGGCTTTAAATTCAGCATGCTTTCGTGTGCTGCTGGCGTGCAAAGCGTGGACTTTCGTGGACTTTCGGCGCACCTTCGCATACTCTCCGCTGGTTGTCGTGGATT